TTCCTATAGTTGTAGTTATTACCCTGTCAACCAAGGGTCAATAAAGACTTGCCCCTTATAAATTCTCCATTATCTCTCGAGTCTGCCAAGAGCTTTTCGTGTTTCTGGTCCACTTACATCAGGTTGTAACTACTGGTGTCTAGCCTCGTTTGTTTAAGCTGTGAGAGGGTTAATGGTTGTTAATGAGCACCGTTCGTTAAATCTTAGTTTTTTATAGGAGACAATTTTTTTTAAACTTTCATGGCGGAGCAGTGTCAATAGTCACCATCGTGTATAAACTGACTGGGTTATTGTTCCAGTGTTGTAGATGTTTCCGGCTGTCAGTGGGTATCAAACAGCTTTCAACGAGATCTTTTGGTTTCTTTAACGTATACAACGGACTATAAGTTACCGTCCGCTATCCTTCTTGTTTTCACTCGATACTTCTTCTCATCGGTTCTGGATAAATCTCCATAGTTTGATACGTTATAATATATTAATTAATAACACTGCGTCGATGATACTTGACCTAATGAGACATCTGGTTTGAGGTCAAATATCTATCATAAATTTTCCCTTAAAAATTGAATGCTTTACAAAATTATGTATATTTATGCTTTTATTGTCTGGAAGATTTTTATAAGATCCCGTTGAGTAGTTCGCTTGAAACTGTCGGCAGCTTCTACACGCTGTACTGTAAGGCGACGATCCTCCAGCAGCCGGGCGAGAACACGGGGCGGTGAATCACTTTTAGTTTGCTTTCTGATAAATTTCTGGAATATAATGAAAGGGTCAAGTATATATATTGTAACATTGGGTGATTAGACCTGATTGGCGCACCATCACGGCTCTTGATACCGTTTGTGAACACTCGCTTCTGATTGGTGGAATAGTTTCCGTGAATGACGTCGTTTGGCGTGACATTCGTTTTCAGAGGACCTGCAGGGTTCTCGTGGTAGATGATTATTAAAACACCTATAATTGTTTGTCCTAGTTCTGTGCTGTTATATGAGATTATATCATACATTATTATAATTACTGTATATTAATAGATTAAGTTGGCTAGTTAAAGTTTTTTTCATGTATACAGTTAAAGGGGAAAAACTAACGTATAGGATCCTCTGAGAATTTGAGTCCAGATTTTTTAAGGTAACGTTTCAATGTTTTTTTTATTATAATTTTCAAGGTATTATCAGAGAAGCTTTGATGTGGGGAGGCTGGTGTGTGAGACAGATGTTGACGGAGGCTGGTGTGTGAGACAGTTGTTGACGGAGGGACGGGAGGCTGGTGTGTGTCAGACAGTTGTTGACGGAGGGACGGAGGCTGGTGTGTGTGTCAGACAGTTGTTGACGGTGGGACGGGGAGGCTGGTGTGTGAGACAGATATTGACGGGAGGCTGGTGTGTGAGACAGTTGTTGACGGAGGGACGGAGGCTGGTGTGTGTGTGTCAGACAGTTGTTGACGGAGGGACGGGAGGCTGTGTGTCAGACAGTTGTTGACGGAGGACGGAGGCTGTGTGACAGTTGTTGACGGAGGACGGAGGCTGGTGTGTGAGACAGTTGTTGACGGTGGGACGGAGGCTGGTGTGTGTCAGACAGTTGTTGACGGAGAGACGGAGGCTGGTGTGTGAGACAGTTGTTGACGGTGGGACGGGAGGCTGGTGTGTGTGTCAGACAGTTGTTGACGGAGAGACGGAGAGGCTGGTGTGTGAGACAGTTGTTGACGGTGGGACAGGAGGCTGGTGTGTGAGGCAGTTGTTGACGGGTGGCTGCAGCATTTTGGGCAGCTCGTCAGTAGAACAAATAGAGAGAGGAGACGATGCCGCTTGTTTAGCTCCAGTAACTGTGTTAAGAGTCATCACCGCTCACGTAGCTTGGCTGGTTCCCCTCCCTTCCTCCAACCCACCCCACCCAAGACCCCACCCCGCCCCACACAAAACCCCACCCCACCCAAAACCCCACACACACACACGTACACACACACGTACACACACACACACACACACACACACATGATGCACATAAGGAAACAACACACATAACGATATAACTCACGTTCACTAAATATACACTGTAATTAACCACATGACATTGATATATAAGCAGGTAACATGGCCAGGATCACACTCGACCTCATATCACCTACCCTCCAAGGCTCTCAGGTTACTTACCCACCGGGATCGAACCAGCGATCCTCAAGAACGGAGGTGAACACTGTATCCACTTGACCGCCACATCGCATTAACAACTTTCACTTAAAAAAAAAAAAAGTTACGCTGGTTAACATACACTTGCAAGTACACTAATATACACAGTGTGAGGCAAAACGTACACAGATTATACACACCTGGTCAGAAAGACACACTTACACTCATCTGTATATAAAACAATTGAGTATCTAGAACAAATACCTACTGGATGTTTACCTCGAGTAAAATACACATCACATGCTTCTCTCTTGACACGGTATAATGTTGGCGATAATGTTTGGATCACCTGAAGCTTAGACATCTTATCGCTAATTGGGTTTGGTTAGGTTAGCTTTAGGGTGATTAGGTTAGGTTAGGATTGGTCAGGTTAGCGTTAGGGTGGTTAGGTTAGGTTAGAATTGGTCAGGTTTTGTTAGCATTAGGTTGGTTACAAGGGGGTCAAATAAGCTGGGGTATCTTTTCTTTAAGACAGCCTTAGGTACTTTGACCCGTTGGTTAATATAGCTTTTAATATAACTTTTATCAAGAATTTATTATATGTGACATTAATTAAACAGTTTATTGACCTTACAAAAATGATTAACAGATCATTTGTTTAAGAACTCGTGGCTCTTTCGCGGTTAATGAGGGAGGTACCTGGCTAAATCCCCCCCTCACCCTCCCTCACCCCCTCACCCCCCCCCTCACCCCCCACACACACTTCATCTCTGTTATCTCACTCAACCCTCAATTTGGTCTTGTTCAAGTGCTCGAGAGGTGTGGTCAAAAATGAATGGAGAAAAAGTTTGGTCTGGTAACCCAATAGGGAGGGGAGAGGTGGCGGCTAGAGGGGGAGGTGAGGGGACGGAAGGGGAGGGTCTTAAGGTGAGGGGAGGGGAAGGGAACGGAAGAAAGGAGAACACAACTTCACACCTGTTGGAAACTAAGCTGCACACCTGCTAAACACTAAATACACACGTGCTAAACACTAAACTACACACCTGCTGGAAGCTAAACTACACACCTGCTAAACACTAAATACACACGTGCTAAACACAGAATTACACACCTGCTAAACACTGAGCTACACACCTGCTAAATACTAAACTACACACCTGTTAAACACTAAACTACACACCTGCTAAACACTGAACTACACACCTGCTAAACACTGAACTACACACCTGCTAAACACTGAACTACACACCTGCTAAATACTAAACTACACACCTGCTGAACACTAAACTACACACCTGCTGAACACTAAACAACATACCTGCTAAACACTAAACATCACACTAAACTACACACCAAACTACACACCTGCCACACGCTAAACTACACACCTGCTGGGAACTGAATCCAGGAAAAATCCTGAAATTTGAATAATAAAGTTTAGTTTAATTTACATAACTGACCCGGTGGGGGGGGGGGGCATATTTGTAGTGGTTTAAAAAATATTACCCATGAAATATATCTGAGTTGGGTGGTATAATCTACAACACTGGTTTAATCTACAACACTGGTTTAATCTACAACACTGGTTTATTTCTACAACACTGGTTTAATATACAACACTGGTTTAATCTACAACACTGGTTTAAATCTACAACACTGGTTTAATCTACAACACTGGTTTATTATACAACACTGATTTAATATACAACACTGGTTTAATGTTTACATCTGAGGAAGCGACTCGTGTCTTTGGTGACGGACGTAAACATTAAATTAACCATTAATTGTTTGTTTACCTGTGTTATATATTGAATCAGTGTAAACTTTTATGATAATTTGACGACTCATTATCTACCCACCTACCTACCTGTTTTCTGTTTTTCTGTTTATCGTCTAAAAAGTCCAATTGTTTACTAATTTCTGTACTGTATTGTATATGTAAACAAGTCCCACATACTGACATGAATACCTGGTGATATATTTAGTTTGGGAATTCCACACAACCTTACTTAAAACTTTCCTCAACTCTGTAAACTATAAGGAGAAAATACTTGAAACACTGAACCGAAAAAACCACACACGGGGGCTACCAAACACAACCCTAAGCCATTCTTGGTGTTTCATATTGTTTCGTTCTCATTTCATTATGGTGTCAAGATGCAGCGATATGTGTCAATGTGGATTAACGTGGATCACTTCTGTTGATTCGCTTTCATTTGTCTCAGAGGTGTTTCAAGAGAGTTTTTTTTTGTTATAAAGGAATTACGCCACAATATGTTAAGTTTGTGGGTATTTTAAGGGAAAAGTAATGACTAACTGAACCAGAACTGCAGGGAGTGGAGTATGATGACCCCTTCCCTCGCCTGCCCTCCATACCCACACGACCTTCCCTCTCCTGCTCTTCATATACCCATACTCCTTCCCCTGCACTCCATACCCACGCTCTTTCCCCTGCTCCCCCCCCCCTCCCCATCCCGCCGCCTCTCTGGTAAAAGTGATGGTAATTGTGATAATTATGTGTGTGCTGCAGGCGGTAAGGGAGGCCACCATGACTCTACAGTAGTGTGTGTAAAAGTATATGCTCATCTTAACACTAAATACCAACTAGAACCATCAGTTTAATGTTACATATATATATATTTTTTACATTATTTTATCATCATTGTTGTTGTTATTTAATCGTTTACTAAATAGACGCATTCGCCACTACACACAAGACAGCTTCTCGGTGGTCACCTAGAGCCAGGCAGTGTTATGGTGTAGCTGCTGTCAGTTTTGTTCTTTGTTGAAAACTTTTAATTTATTTAAATAGCAACTAAAGTTAACATTATTCGAGTTAATCAATTCACTTAAATAATTTCTTTATTCTTTTCAGATCAGGACCTGGAGACACGTAAGTTACCGTTGATGTCGTTTTTTCTCATACACACTCATGCATATATACTGTGTGCGATGGAATGCTTGGTATTAATCCGTCTAGTTGACAGCAATATAATAGTAACAATCACAATATTGCCGGTACAAAACAGACGGTGGTGATGGTCTGTGTGATAATGGTGAGAGTGATGGTGTACAATATGATGGTTATAGTTTAGTTAAGACAGACAGCCAGCACAGTGTGTGAGGGGAGCTGATCAAGATGGTGTGGGGACTAGAGACTGGTCACACGATTACTGGTGCTGGAAAATAAAAGTTTTCCCTAAAATAACAAAAAAAATGAAAAGACAAATCACCCATGAATATATTTTAAATCAAGTTAAGGTTATTATAGTAGTTATGGAGGACTGAAGGTGACGCTGTTGTAGTGTACGGTGACGGTAGAGGGCGGGGCGGGCTGGGTCCTTGGTGGTCAGTGTTTGTGAAGTGGTAGTGGTTGTTGAGACGTCTTCTTCAGTAAACAACGGTAAAAAGTGTCTCTCTATATTTACAACTCGTGTTAAAACTTATAAACAATAATGTTATAAAGAGAGTAATTATCTTGTAGTCAACTCGTGTGTCACCCGTCAGGTATTCTGCCTACGTCACTGCGCCTGTTGGTCGTGTAGTCATTATGTAAACAATTATAAAACCCAATCAGTTATTATTGTTATTAGTTTATATTATTATTGCCGTTATTATTGTTGTTAATTTATATTAGTTTGTCGTTTATTAATTTATATATATTTATCCTCTCATTTTCCAGTCACGAGTCGAATTGATCAGTCCTGTAAACCAAATCAGTAATAAATAAGTCGTAAAAATACCAATAATTGACGTCATAATTGAGTCATGATCTCGTTACTCTAACAATCATACATTAAAATAGAAAAAAAAATAACTATAAGGAACAATATTTACACCTGCAATATATTTACTGATTATATAAGAGTATTTAACCACGCTAAGGGTATTTGTTTTCTCAGTTTATATATTGTTGTGTTACGGTTGTGTCTACCTAAAGATGGTCTTGTGAAGCATCTCCGTTTCCTCAAGATTTGTTCTATTAGCCATTCAGAGAGCTTGATGTACTGGCCACTCAGAGAGCTTGATTTACTGGCCACTCAGAGAGCTTGATTTACTGGCCACTCGGACAGCTTGATTTACTGACCATTCAGAGAGCTTGATTTCCTGGCCATTCAGAAAGCCTCCCTAGTTACCCACCCTCTCCCCTAGTTACTCACTGCCTCCCTTCTGCTCTGGTTGTACCATAACAATACCGTCCCTCACCCCCTCACCCCGAGGGTCCTCTTCACTAGTGGGGGGGGGGGGGGCTGGATAGAGGGTACAAACTCCTCCCCCCACCTTTCCTGTTCCTCTCCCGGGGTAGCACCAGACACCTCCCCTCACCTCTCCCCTCAACTTCTCACTTGCCTCCCTCTCCCTGGGGTCGTAGGGAACACCGCCCCTCATACTCGCCGCTCCCCTCTGATAACAAGTGGTGTACCCCCCTCACCCACCACCAGCCACCTATGTGGGGCCCAGCTGGGTCACTGGGACAGTTGGTGCTGTTAGTTACACCTGCTGGGAAGGGAAATGAACCACCTGTACGAGGCTCAGCTGGACCAGATGGTGCTGTTAGATATCCCTGCCAGGTGTTGAAGACGAGCCACCTGTGTGAGGGATCATTTGTGGAGATAGACGCCAAAGGTGACAACACCTGTAGGGGAGTGAGCGATACACCTACTGTGGGAGGCAGGTAACACGGTCCTCTCATACAGTACTGTCGCAGCTTATAAGCGTATCAGTTTCTCTAGATGAGGTACTGATCTTCCAAGACAGTAATGTTTGTGAAAATAATAAAACTAACTGTATTGTCGAGCGTGTGTGGTGAAAATCTAAGCGTATCAGATCGGATTTAAATGTGTTGGTGCGGACGTACTTCAGCAGACACCTGGAGCCTGTCACCGGCAGTACAGTGAACACAGCCTGGCCTCTGCGTCACGTCCTCCACACACGCGAGATACAAGAATCTAAACATGAAGAGGTACTGTCTAGCTCACCTACTGCACCTAAGGTGACCCAAGGTCCAGGTGTTGTGAATCACCATTACCTGGGAGATTGTCGGCATATATAAATAAATAAATATATATATATATATATATATATATATATATATATATATATATATATATATATATATATATATATATATATATATATATATGGTTATCAGCATATACCTAGATCACGCGCACCTATAGTGATTTACTTGTATATATATATATATATATATATATATATATATATATATATATATATATATATATATATATATATATATATAGGTGGAAGCCGTTCCTTTGTAATGTTCCGGTCGGCACATTTTATAGAGACAGTATTTGATAACATTACCTCCCGTAAATGACAGTGAACTAGCCCAGGCTACCTTAACTCTTTACTCAACTGGCAATAATATGCTCCGTTAAATGTCCACTTAAACTTATCCGAAACTGAATGATTGTTGTAATTTTATCTTATAATTCATTACATTCCGTTATTGTGTCCGAATTAATAATTAATCTTCCCCGAACGAGAGCAGGATATTAATGAATCCTTGTGGACCATCCTCAGTGTGAACTGTGATGTGGTTAACACTTTACTTACAACTCAGCAGAGACAATGATCTTCCTAGTTGCTTCAAGTTGTCTGTAACCATCGACTCTTAGAACACGGATCCAGCCTTGTATCCACTTGGCCGCCAGTTTAATTATAATATCGATGTACAGTTCCCTTCACTTGTGCGTTTACAGGGGCTCATCAGGTTTTGTGCAGTGTGGCAGCCTTGTGTTTGTTTACATTCGACAGAAGAAAACTAGCAATAGTAAACATAACATGGAATAATAAAAAAAAATACCCCAATGTTAATGATTTGTGGAATGTTTATATGACGAGCCCCTGTAAACGCACTAGTGAAGGGGATTGTAAGCGCTTTGAACTGTTGTCTCAGTAAGTTCACCTTACAGTTCTGTGGATATTTTAAGTAGACTGTGATGACTCCACTTGTATTTACATCCGGCTGACTGGTGACTGTTGACTGGTGGAAGCCTTCTGTGGGTATTACTGACAACTTATTATCATTGAAGAGGATTGTGGACCGGAGCTCTTGGCTGATAGAGTAACAATCCTGGTGGTAAATGGGTGTACAATCACTGCCAATATTCCCTCAACACTTGGCATTATATGGTAGCTACACCTTCTCGTGGGTACTGTCGTTAGTTGCTGGATGTTGTTTTTGGTTAAGAACTGTGCAAAATACTTTCTCTGTAATAATATGAAGGAAAACTTGAGTAAAAAGGTTTCTGAATCCCAATCCGCCTGACCCGACCGCAATCCGTCTTACCTGATCGCATTCCACCTTACCTGACCGCAATCCATCTTACCTGACCGCAATCCATCTTACCTGACAGCAATCCGCCTTACTTGACCGCAATCCATCTTACTTGACCGCAATCCATCTTATCTGACCGCAATCCATCTTATCTGACCGCAATCAGCCTTACCTGACCGCAATCCATCTTACCTGACCGCAATCCATCTTACCTAACCGCAATTCGCGTTACCTGACCGCAATTCGTCTTACCTGACCGTCAAGATGTTAACCAAAGTGTCTAGACAATTTTGGTTTGTGCCCGTTCAGATAGTTGGTTATTTTTTACTCTTATACACGTCAATATATATAATACATAATATATACTGTTCCATCATATACTTTTTTCTTTGAGTATTTATTCTTTAATTTGTTTGTAATTACGTGACCGTTAGCCAAATAATATACCAGTAATGACAGTTTTATTTGCATGTATGTGACGCATTAACTTATATTAGTCTATTAACATTATTATCGTTATCGTCACCGCCTTTTTTTTATTTTTAAACCGTAATGACTGATAAATTATACTTAATGGTCATAGTGTAATCTGGCCCGGTAGTGTGGAAGTTCGTTTGGCGATATTTTCTAACAGTCATTGAATATATTACACGAAGAACAACAACACACACACACACACACACACACACACACACCAAACACGTCAAATGGATCATTCAGACACATCCCATTATGCCTGCCAGAGGATTATAATAAGTATATATATATATTTATTTGTATATCTTTATCATCATCAATGACTTCTTTGTTGTATATTTCTATTATCATCTTCATCAGTATTTGCATTATATTTTTGAAGGCTTGATGAGGTCATATTGTGTGATCAGATACATTCATTATATTGTGGTATATAACCTGCTCTCACACGCGGCTGGATACAAACTGCTCTTACATTTTCACCAGGTTTTGTTAGTGGACCGTAATGAAATATGACCCACGTATTAACACGCCCTTTTGTAATACTTTTTTTTGTTGTTGTTGTGTAAATATAAACTTTTCAGAAGGCTTATGTTGGTAGACGTATAGAAATTAGCGTTTAATATGCTAGTGGCACTGATATCACTAAACATGTGTTGGGTAGGTGGTGGGGAGGTCTTGGCTTAATCGTATACATACATGGGTGACGTACACAATTACCTGGTTAAGAACTTACGTGTTACAAGGTGACTAATTTTACACAAACGTACACGAGGTGGCCAATAGTACACAGACATACACAAGGTGGTCAATAGTACACAAAAACGTACACAAAGTGGCCAATAGTACTCACAGACGTACATAAAGTTGGCCAGTACAGATTTTAAGATGTACTGAGTAGTTCTAGGTGTTACTGAGGCGCTAGAGTGTCTATGGGAGGCAGTGCAGGTAGACGTTACTTAGGTACAAAGTGAGGATAGTTATGCTGACTGTAGCTTCCCTGTACATGTAGTGTTGGGTACTCTTAGCGGTGCTGGTACTCTTATTATTTTATTTAGGTTTCCTTTATTTACTGAGTGTACTGGGGGAGACGCCGGCTTATATTATTA